ACTCAAAGGCTTTTGTAGCCAAGGTCTCCAATCTTTCCACAACGTTCCCCAAATCAACATGGTCAAATCTATTACAGCGATACCCCACTATACTGGTAATAAACTGTCTTATTTTGGAGTACTATTGCTGTGATCAAACACCTTCACCAAAACAACTTGGGGAGAAAAGGGTTTATTTGGTTTACACTTCCTTATTATGTTCAAAGCCAGGACAAAAACTCACTCAGGACAGGAACATGGAGGTAGAAACTAAATCACAGGCAATGGAGAAATCCTGCTTACTGGCTTGCTCCCTATGGACGCTCAGTCTGCTTTCTTATAGAGCCCACCATCTGCAGCCCAGGGAAAGCCCTTTCAACAATGTTATGCTCATTCCCTCATTGATATTTAAGAAAATGCTGGCCCACAGTCCACTGTTATAAAGGTATTTTGTCAAAGAGGGTTCCCTTCCTCAGATGACTGTAGCATGAGTTAAGATTAAATAAAAATAGCCAGGACATCTGTGTTCCTGCCTGGCACCAATAAGATAGTAAAATGTTACAAAGCTGGATGTATACATGGATGAATATACGTATACACACACATATAAACTGCTATATGCTGTTTATATGTGTGCTATAATTCAATGAGGTTCCTCAGCATGCTTACTTAAAAGGGCTCTAGCAGTGAACTAAGGGCTTTAGCCTTTGTCCTAATGAGTAACTCTGACAAGTTTGAACAAACAAAACAAGATAAAAACCACTAAGAGCTGGGTGTTATCCTAACACTCAGGAGGCAGAGGCAGGTGGATCTCTGTGAGTTGAACGCCAGCCTGGTCTACAAAAGCTATGATAAAAAAGTTATGATAAAAGATAAGCTACATATAAGACTTTAGACACACAATGATAGGACAGATGATACTTTCTTTAAATCTTACTAAATGTTAATGGCCAAAATATCGTAACTATGTTCTTACTTTATACATGTTCTGTTATATATAATTTGACTATGTTAAAGTTAAAACCTTTCTTTTTTTTAGACAGAAAAGAGGAGATGATGGGAGATGCCATTCTGTAAATCTGTCTCTTATTGGTTGTTGAATAAAGCACTGTTTGCCAATAGGGAAGCAAGATAGGTGGGACTAGGAGTCAAGGAGGATTCTGGGAAAGAGAGGCAGAGTTGGAGTCACGATGTACCCGCCATAGGAGTAAGAGGTCTGGACCCTTTCTCCAGTAAGAGACATATTTAGATTAACAATTATGGGTTAAATAATTAAGTCAGAGCTAGCCAGTAAGAAACAAGCAAACTGCCAACAGCTTCATAATTAATATAGCATCCTGTGTGTTATCTGGGGACTGCAATTGTGGCAGGGTCCAGGCAGATGGAGGGGCAGGCTGCACTCTACATGTAACATTACAGCAGAAAATACTTCAAATATACTAAAATGCCGCACTACACCTGCAGAAAAAAGGTTGGGCAGGGAAACTGATGGATCCAGGAGAAAACTTGTATATTAGGGAACTCCTGGCAACATCCAGGAAACTTAAACATCCATTCGTCACAATCAAGGAGCACACCAACCTGGCTCACTGGCTTCTCTATATAAATATGGATAAATGGCCATGTAGAGAGGAAATTGGACCGATTACCCTCCTTAAAACACACAAGAAGTACAACCATACATCCAACACATAGGTTTCTCTTCCTAAGTGAGGAATTGATTCAGACTCCTACAACCCAGTCCAAAGAGTCCCTCACTACCAAATCCCAGTAATATTTCCCTGAGATGCAACTCTGCGATCTCCAGAAGGCAGTATAGCATCCAAGAAAAATCTATAGATGGGTCCTGATGGTGAGGTCTGAAGCTAGATCTTCTCATGACATTAAATAAGTTTTTCTTGCAAGGGGCAGAGTTTTTTTCTAGAAAGAATACTTGTCCTGTGGGAAGAGTCAACATTTTAGTTGAAATCACCATTTACATTTCTCAGGTAAGAGAAGTTCTGGAGTCTTCTTGGATTTTAAAAACAAGATAAGACTAGGGGTTAAATGTGGCTCAGACACATCAAAGTCAAGGATTTCCACAAGAAACAGAATAGAATGATTAAAAGTTTTGTGACTTTGTAGATGATGTCAAGAAGGGAGCCTCACTCTACTTCTGGCAGGAGACTTTTAATTAAACCTGGCAAAAGGAAGATGTGTATATTGCAATGACAGCAAACACTTCTCATGGGTCTAAATAAAAAGCTCATTCCTTAGATGTGAGTAGTGATGGCTTTCATAATGGTGTTGTGATTTCCAAGTAATTAATCATATTTATACTATAGGAAGAGCTAAGTATGCTTTAGAAGTGTATCCGTGGTAGTAACTGTCCTCCTTTAACCTCTGGTTCTTGATACTTATTTCCTGGGAGCTTACAGTTGATTTTTAGATCTACAAGGAGGGTTCAGATTCTGTCTCAGTTTTTTCCATTTTCATTGCTCATGATATGACGCTTTGTTTAATTACTTTATGATTTTTCTTTTTCAGTCCCTTTTAGACAAGGTCTTGTTATTCATCCTTGAATGGCATGGAACTCACTATGTTGACCAGAATGTCCTCAAACTCAATGGCAATCCTCACTTCTCAATGCTTTTAGAGTTGGGATTATTAGTGTGCACCCTATCTTGTGTATTTTAAAACTATAGATTATACCTATAAAATAAAGGATCATCTGGCAGCATCACCATTCCTGACTTTAAGCTCTATTATAGAGCGATAGTAATTAAACAGTGCCATACTGGCATAAAAACAGACAAATAGATCACTGGAATCTTATCGAAGACCCTGATATTAAAAACTCACACACATATGAACACCTAATTTTTAACAAAGAAGCTAAAAATATAAAATGGAAAAAAGAAAACCTATTCAACGAATGGAGCTGGTGTAACTGTCTTCAACATGTAGAAGAATGCCAATAGATCCATATCTATCACCATGCAAAAAACTCAAGTCCAAATGGATCAAAGACCTCAATATAAATTCATCCACACTGAACCTCATAAAGAGAAAGTGGGAAATTCATTTGAACTCATAGGCACAGGAGACCACTTCCTAAATAGAACACCAGTAGTACAGGAACTGAGAGCAACAATTAAAAAAATGGGACCTCCTGAAACTGAGAAGCTTCTAAAAGCAAAGAAGAAAGTCAACAAGAATGGGAAAAGATCTTCACCAACCCAACATCTGACAGAGGCCTGATATCCAAAATATGCAAAGAGAGAACTCAAGAACTAGATGCCAAACTACCAAATAATCCAATTAATAAATGGGATACAGACCTAAACAGAGAATTCTCAGCAGAACAATCTCAAATGGTGCAAAGACACTTAAGGAAATGCTCAACATCCTCAGTCATCAGGGAAATGCATATCAAAACTCTGAGATTCCATCTTACACTCATCAGAATGGCTAAGAAAAGAAACACCAATGACAGCTTATGCAGGAGACAATATGAAGAAAGGGGAACACTCCTCCATTGCTGGTGGGAGTGCAAACTTGTACAGCCTCTGTGGAAACCAGTATGGTGATTTATCAGAAATCAGGAATCAAGTCAGGTGGTGGTGGAGCATGCCTTTAGTCCCAGTACTCAGGAGGCAGAGGCAGGAGGATCTATGTGAGTTTGAGGCCAGCCTGGTCTACAAAAGCTAGTCCAGGACACCCTCCAAAGCCACAGAGAAATCCTGTCTAGGGGAAAAAAGAAACTAGTGATCAACCTACTTCAAGACCCTGCAATACCACTATTGGGCATATACCCAAAGGAAGAAATTCACTCCACAAGGACATTTGCTCAACTATGTTCACAGCAACATTATTCGTAATAGCCAGATCTTAGAAGCAACCTAGATGCCCGTCAACTAAAGAATGGATAAAGAAAATGGGGTGTATTTACACAATGGAGTACTCACTACTCAGCAGTAAGAAACAATGACATACTAAAACTTGCAGGCAAATGGACAGAACTGGAATAAACCATCCTGAGTGAGATAATGCATAACAAGAAACACAAATATAGTATGTACTCACTCATAAGTTAATACCAGACATGAAGCAAAAGATACCCAGCCTACAATCCATAACCCCAGAGAAGCTAGAACCCTCTTCAAGGAGTAGATGGAAGCAGAGGCAGAAATCCACAACTTACCAATGGGCCAAGCTCTTGGAGTACAACAATGGAAGTGAGGGAGGAGAGATAATATGACCAAAGGAGTCAAGAAGATGAAGGGGAAACCCACAGAATCAGCTGACCCAAGCTAGTGAGAGATCACTGACTCAAGTCTGACAAATGGGGAACCTGCATTAAGACCAAACTGGACTCCTTTTATATAGGTGACAATGGTGCAGCTGGGACAATATATGAGGCCACTGGTAGTGACTCCAAGATCTAACACCTGATGTACAAACTGACTTAGTGGAGCCCATTCTATATGGAGATACCTTGCTCAGCCTAGACAGGAGTGTGGCGGGTGGAGGGGTGCCTTGGTTCTGCCTCAATGAGATGATGGACAGACTTAGTAGACTGCCTAGGGGAGGCCTTACCCTCTCCAAAGAGCAGATGGGACGTAAGGGGGGGTGGGGGAGGAGAGGAGGGAGGGGGAGCTGGGATTGGAATGTAAAAAAATAAACTAATAAAAATTTTAAAGACTATAATGTAGTATAAGAAATCAATTGCTAAAATGTTTAAAGGAAAATAACCAAATATATCCATCAATGGGTACACTTAATTTGAATTAGACTATCCTTAATTAATTTGCCATTCCTTATGCCTCAATGAATAACTGATACTCTCTTTTCTGCCATGATTACACACAACATGATATTGATATTCGTTTCTGTTTGTTTGTTTGTAAAATGCCCACATAATTAAATAAGATTATAATGTGATTACCTAGACATCATTCTGGGGAAGTAAATATTTCTGTGTAAAGGTTATCTCACTGTTGAAGAGTACCTCTGGTCATTTCATCATTGTTCACACTCACCTTTGAAGGACTGGAACCTTTCAGTCAGTCCAGTGATGGGCAGGGCACTGAGCTCTGGTTTCATAGCCTGGGGCATGCACAGCTGCATTGACTCACTCCTGAAAGGAGAAGAAAATATTGATCTGCCTAATGCTAAAGACATCTTTAGAGTGATTAGGAAAAAAACCTCACTCCAGGTTCAGACAAATGGCTCAGGGAATAAATCTCTTCCTATACAAGTCTGGCAACTTCAGTTTAACCCTTGGAACTCACAACGGAAGACGAAGACTGTCTCCTGAGCTGGGAGTTGGTGGCTGACTCATTTAATACCAGCATTCCATCCTCCTAAAGGGAATTTTTAAAAATATTTGCCTCAACCAGATTTTAAGCATGAACCTCATACTCACTCTCCACCGATTTGTCATACTATTCTCTGCCTCTAGATTCTCCTGATTTTCTTGGATCTTCTCCCATAGAGATGCCATTTGTTTTAGAAGTTTCTCCTGTAATATGAATATCAACAATGAATATCAACTTAATAAACAGCCTGGTGGACAATAAATACAATCAGTAAGGGAAAGTAAAAGGAGCACAGTATTCTTTTTTTACTTTTTGTAACAATGAATTTTAGATTTCAAAACACTGAATATCATACCTCTTTGCTCAAAAGAAATGATTGATAATTATGACTAATGTCTTGATAATATGAATAAGATTGGGATTCCCAGGTGCTTCTCTCTCTAGTTGACTATACAAAGTACTTTCATATTTAGTCTTCAGCCATAGACACTTTTAAAAGATATGAATTTAGTGTTTCCTTTCCAGTGACCTGGGCATAAAGTATCACTCAGTAGAAAGATAGGCTGGCCGGGCGGTGGTGGAGCACACCTTTAATCCCAGCACTCAGGAGGCAGAGGCAGGCAGATCTCTGTGAGTTCGAGGCTGGGCTGGAACGATAGCCTCTGAAACAATACAGAGAAACCCTGCCTCGTAAAAACCAAAAAAAAAAAAAGAAAGAAAGAAAGAAAGAAAGACAGGCTGTGTCTCCCAAGGGATCTTTATTTGTTTGTTTGTTTGTTTTTGGTTTTTCGAGATAGGGTTTCTCTATATTGTTTTGGAGGTTGTCCTGTAACTCACTCCTTTGCCTCCCAAAGTGCTGGAACTAAAGGTGGGCATCACCAACGCCCAGCTTTCCAAGGGATCTTAACATTCAGTCACCCTTTCTTCATTAGCTGTTAATAAAGTGCCAGCATCCCAAAAAACAGCGGCTTCCTCATAATCAGGACAAGCGTCTTGCTGTGTTCTGCTAAGCCTCCCTCTTCAGCTTTCACATTCTCTCCCAAGTATCACTTACCATTTGGCCCTCAGCAGCTGCTCCAATGGGGCTGTGTGTGAGCACTTGGGAGGCAGAGGCAGGCGGATCTCTGTGAGTTCAAGGCCAGACTGGACTGACAGCCTCCAAAACAATACAGAGAAACCCTGTCTCGTAAAAACAAAATAAAACAAAACAAAATGTGCTAAAACAATGGGGCTGGAGAGATGGCTCAGTAGTTAAGAGCACTAGCTATTCTTTCAAAGGACCTGGGTTCAATTTCCAGCACCCGCATGAGGTCTCACAATTGTCTGTAACTCCAGTTTCAGGGGTTGACACCTTCACACAAATGCAAATTAAATAAATTATTTTTAAAAAATAATTTTCTAAATCAAAATGTCTGTAAATAAAATCCCCGTGAGATTGGGGTATAAGAGGCAACTGAAACCATGGAAAAAGGAAGTACCAGAGAAAATATCAAATTACAGAAATCAAAGATTAGACTTGAGGGGTAAATCTTAGAAAATCTTCATCAAATCGAAAGGTTGTGGTGCGGGGGATCGAACCCAGAGCTTCATGCATGTTAGGCAAGCACTTAACCTGCTGTACTATATCCTGTTTAGTTTAGCTTGAGATTTTTTGTTGTTTGTTGTTCATTTGACACACATAGCTGAAGTCGTCAACTCACTACACACTCAAGACTGACCGTGAATTCCTGATATTCCTTCCTCTACCAACAGAGTGCTGGGAATTACAGCTATGTACTACCATGGTTAGTATTTTGATTTGGGTTTTCAAGATAGGGTTTCTCTGTATAACAGGCCGAGCTGTCCTGAAACTCACTCTGTAGACCAGGCTGACTTTAAACTCATAGAGATCTGTCTGCCTCTGCCTTCCGAGTGCTAGGATTAAATGCATGTGCCATCAGCACCTGACTGTATTTTTTTAATATGACAGAATTTTGCCCGATTTCAACGTCTTTACTTATTGAGAACTAAGTTGAGATTTCTCAGTTGGGAATCTCAGTGGGCACCTATCAAGCATCAATTGGGGGCCATCTTGGTAAAGTAAGCTGTTGCATTTCCTCTTGACCCTTTGATTTTAGATTGTGTAATAGTTAATTTTAAAAAAGCATTTATTTATTCTGCATATAACATACAGCATTCTGCCTCCATGTATGACTGCAGGCCAGAAGAGGGCACCAGATTTCATTACAGGTGGTTGTGAACCACCATGTGGTTGCTGGGATTGAACTCAGGACCTATGGAAGAGTAGCAAGTGCTTTTAACCTCTGACCCATCTGGAAGCACTAGGGAGGCAGAGGCCGGCAGATCTCCGTGAGTTCAATGCTAGCCTGGCCTACAGAGTGAGTTCCAGGACAGGCTTCAAAGCTACAGAGAAACCCTGTCTGAAGAACACAAGAAAGGAAGAAAGGCAGGAAGGAAGAAATGGCTGCATAAACAAGATCTGAACAATGACATATCAATAGACATTGCAGTGGTTTGAATGAGATGAACAATGACGTATCAATAGACACTGCAGTGGTTTGAATGAGATTGACCCCATAGGCTCACACATTTGCATGCTCAGCCCCCATTGATGAGCTGTGATGGAAGGAGTAGGAGGTGTGGCCTTGTTGGAGGATGTGTGTCACTACGGGTGGGCTTTGACATTTCAAAAGCCCATGTGAGGCCCAATCTCCCTTCTCCCTTCTCCCTCTCCCCTTCCCTCTTCTCCTCCCCCCCTCTACTTGCTGCCTGTAAATTAGGATGTAAAGCTCTCAGCTACTATTCCAACACCACACATGCTGCCATGACACTAAACTAACCCTGTGAAACTATAAGCAAGCCCCCAGTCACATGCTTTCCTTTTCTTTTTTTTTTTTTTTTGACAAGAGTTGCCTTGGTCATGGTGTCTCTTCACAGCAATAGAACACTGACTAAGATAGACATACTCATGCCAAAGCAAGGAAATCTCACAGGTCCTACCCCTAGACAAACAACCACAGGCAACTAATATCTGCTAAGAAGAGAGAATTAGTCTATCCTAGGAGTGAGGCCTTGATTGGTTATCTGATTCAAAGTGGCCAGCCCTGAAACCATCCATATACACACAACAGAAACCATAGGCTGCGTTTACATAGTGTGCATCTATCTAAACATGTGTTGATGTGTGTGTGTGTGTAACAATAATAATAAAGAAAAAGAGGTTATCTGTTTGAGAGTGAGGTGGATGACATGGGAGGAGTTGTAGGGCAGGAACATGGGTAGGGCTGTAGAGAAGAAACGGAAGGGGAAAGTGATTTAACTTTTAAAAACAACAGTTTGAAAAATAAAACTTAAATAAAGAAAGTAACTTTTCCGTTACAACTCCCTAATAACACAGAGAGATGAAAAGGTCACTAATCAGACACGTGTTTGCTTTCATCGACTTTCATGAGCACCGAGTCTGGTCCAGGATGGAATTACTTTATGTAACTGACACTTTCCTTCTGAGAAGGAAAGAACACTTCTGATGTAAAAAAAAAAAAAAAAATGCTTAGGCAATTTTCATATAAAGTTTAGAGTTAAGCATTGTTCTAGGAAAGTCAAGTTAGGAAATAGGGAATGTGAATTCAACCAGGAAGTTAGTTGGATAAACACAAATTCTATGCAGGCATAAAGTAGAAACCAACCTAGAACAGGCCGGGGAATGAAGAACTAGAAATTGAAGCCCATGATCTACAGAGCAAGTTCCAGGACAATCAGAGCTGTTACACAGCAAACCGTGTCTCAAAAAACCAAAAAAAAAAAAAAAAAAAAAAAAAAAAGGAAGAAAGAAATTGAAGCCCGTGAATGATGTGGGTGGCTGCTTTAAAAAGATTGGTTATCACGTGTGTTATGAACACCTGGGTTTGAGTACCGACACACACACACACACACACACACACACACACACACACACACAGACACACACACAGACACACACACAGGAGACACAAAGCAACAACAATAACAACACCAACTCAATTGGGCAAAACGGAAATAGGAATAACAGCTTGGTTTTGTTTTGTTTGAGGTTTGGGGGAGTTGTTTGTTTGTTTGTTCATTTGTTCATTTTTGAGACAGAGTTTCACTATGTAGACCTGGCTGGCCTCGAACTCATAGAGGTCTGCCTGCATCTGGAATTAAAGTTGTGTGGCAGCTTGTTTTCAAGAAGATAATGGACACTTGGCTTCCTGTAGAAAGAAAGGAGGAGCACACATAACTAGCTATTGACTTTTTATTTCCTAGTAAAAACTTTAGAAATAAAATAGAAACTTAAGAAAATTTAGAAATAATAGACTCTGATTTCGTTTTAAATGTAGATGTTCCTCAGCACTACAAATTACAAAGGTGAAAGTTTATTTTCAATGGTGTTAGAGAAGTAGTGTAGTACAGGACATGGACCAGACCCTGAACGATCCTGATAAAATGAAGAACCTCTGCTGTTTATAGGATTCCATGGCTGGCTCAGACTGCTAGGGCCCTGGGCCCTGACATGGAAGGTCACACGGCAGGATGCTGGGATCTCGTGGCCTGGGATGCAGATTACAACCTTGGAAGCACCTGGATCCCCTGTCAGGAGTCCAGACCTAGGAGACCTTAAGAGAGGTCTCTTAAGATGGCCAGCTGAACAGAAGTCTTGTATGTGTGTGATTTCACTTTTTGAAGCCTCAATTTGTGATTCATAATGGTTTAATCAGAGCAACTTCACAGGGCTGTGAAGAGTTAAATACCACCATGCTTGCATTCCATACTAGGCCTGGTAGGCAAAGCACACCCACTGTCTTGATCCCAGACCACCAGCATCGTGAAAACCCAGAGACACTAGCAGTCAATGGAATGTGGACTCTCCATCTTCAGCACCACTGGCCCAGCAGCTACAAGACCAACACCAGAATGCTCTACCCCGTTTGGCAGTCTTGCAGGCACCTGGTCCATCTACCAGACTTTCACCCACGTAGGAGCCTGGGTGAAGAATTCTGACAGGACTAGACGAGAGGCCATCAACAATCTCTCTGATCACCAAAGACTGTGAGACTTTAAGGGGCAGTACAGGAAACATTAGGCTACCAAGGAAGAACAAATACAGTTTGGTCAGCCACACCTGATCTTGGAGAGAGGCGTGGCATTTGACAGAGGGTGACAAGCAGGGAGTAGCTAGAGGCACATACAGATGTGGTAATGATAGGACAGTGAATTACCTCACTATCCAGGCCCACTTTTGGGCGTGACTAGATGCGTGTACAGAGGTTCTTATAAAATACTACAGCAGAGTTGCACTCTCTCTTTTTCAGATTCCGGTTTCATAGCAAAAGCTACTTGACTCATCTAGGTTGCCCGTTTCCTCTTGTAAGTAATTTCTACTAAAAACAGTTACCTACACCCTCAACAAGTGTGCCATTTATCATTACAGCGACAAGTTTGATTTGTTTTGTTTTATCAACTTTACACAAGCCAAAGTCATCTGGAAAATGGAACTTCGACTGAGAAAATGCTTCCCTTAGATTGCCCTGTAGGCAAGTCTGTGTGGCTTTCTTGATTCCTGATTAATGTAGGTCCAAGGCCACTGTGGGCCTTAGTCATGTTGGCCTGGGTTGCACAAAAAAGGAGGGGCAGCTATTTCTCCATGGTCTCTGTGTCAACTCTTACCTCCAGGTTCTGCCTGAGTTCCCGCCCTAACATTCATTCATGGTGGAATATAAAACTGTGAGTTGAAATAAACCCTTCCCTCCCCAAATTTGTTTTGGTCATGACCTTTATCACAACAATAGAAAGCAAACTAGCAGCTGGGCATTGGTGGCACACCCCTTTAATCCCAGCATTGGGAGGCAGAGGCAGGCAGATCTCTGTGAGTTCGAGGCCAGCCTGGTCTACAGAGCGAGTTTCAGGACAGCCTCCAAAACAATACAGAGAAACCCTGTCTTGAAAAACCAAAAATAAAAAATAAAAAAAGAAGCAAACTAAGACATTGTCCATGGATGGGTTAGATATTCCCTGCCCTAAGAATAGGTGGGGTATCAAAGTGCCCAAAGAGACATTTTCACCTTTCTTTGAATCTTACCATG